AACATGTGAGTACTAAATTAGAACATTTGATTTAATTTAGAACACCTAAGGAAAAGTTTAGAACATCATATTTAAAATTTAGAACATACGAGTAAAAATTTAGAACATAAAGAGTGTTCTCACATATGAAAAATTCTCACATAAGAAAAATTCTCACAAGAGTCTTCCTATATATATATATATATATATATATATATATATATATATATATATATATATATGTTTTATTTTTTTTGAAATTTAAAGTAGATAGAATTTTGGAGGGATTTCTTGATTAGTATGCTTTTTTTTTTCTTTTTTGTGGACAATATAAGATTGAAAAGTATTCTTCGCATCCCACAAAATTATTCATGATGATGATACCATTTATTGTACTAGTAGTGGTACAACTAGCATTATTTTTTATGTCTACTTGCTTAATTTGACACCTAATTAATGAGCATTAAAACAATAAGGTCCGGCTCACTTCACCTTATTTTTTTTGTTGATTTAATATTATTTTTACTGAATTGATTTTATTTTTGCTGCTTCTCTATTATATTTCTTCTTTACAGAAACTGATTTATACTGAGTTGAGATTATTACTACTGAACCCAAATTATATTTATTGAATCTTTTTTTAAAAAGGTGAAGTGAACATGACCTAAAGGGTCGGTCTTGAATTTTGGTGGTATAAGATGGTGTATATATAAAATTGCCTTACATTCTCACTTTTCATCGGTTTAACCAAAACTAATTAAGTTGGATGGTGAATTGAATATAGTAAGGTAAAAGTTCATCAAAAAAATGAAGGATGTGAGAGAAGAAGAATAAAATAGTTAAACAAAGTAGGATTGAATACCATGTGACGATAGAGATATAATTAAAACTGAAAAGCTTTTGCATGAAATCGGACTCACCGTGAGTCCAATATCTAACATTAATAAGTTAATAATCTAATGTCAATATTAAAAAATGAATATCAAATATTAGATTATTAATGTCAAATATTAGATTATTAATGCAATATATTAGAATATTATTTTTAGGTATTAAATTATTATTGTCATATATATTGGACTCACCGTGAGTTCGACTCACCCAATTTTTTTCGATTAAAATAAAAACAAGATATCCCAAAAAGTAAGTGATCCACCTAAATAAGGACGATCAATTTAGAAAAGTGATGCACTTAAAAAAATAGAGGGAATATATAAAATTTGTAATATATATGTATATATATATTGAAGAATATTTGAAATATTATATTACCAGGCCAATGTTTAAAAATAATTTTTAAGTGATGTTTTTAACTTTACTCCATGACATGTCAACGATATGAATCAAATTTTTTTTTTTTTTTTTGCTAAGATTTAATTCTTCGTATAAGGGATTTAATATTTAGTCATCGAAGGGGATAATATCCTAGTAATAAACCCTAACGTAGTCAAAGGAGTTTGGTCCGTTCCATGGCAAATCAATCACATCATCAATGACATCCTCTATCTTCTTCAAAGGTTTCAGCAATGGGCCTGGATATTAACCATGTTTACATACAGACAAATAAAGCAGCAAATTGGATCGCGAATGTAGGTCATCTTGTTAGTGATAACATGGACATTACTCTTTGTACTTCCTCATCTTTGTACCCTATGATGCATTATGAATTCCCTTTGTGAGGAGGGGTTCCTAATGTTTTCTTTTTTCTTACCCTTAAATAAAAAAAAAAAAAAAAAAAAAAAAAAAACACACACACACACTTCGTTTTAAAAGGTACGAAGCATAACAAATTCTTACAACAAAAAAATAATACGAATTACATAAAATACGGGATGAAAAAAATACAGAGTATTTAGAATTATATTTTTGTTGATTTTTTAATAGAAGAACTAAGGGCTTGTTTGGCATTGTTTTTTGTTTTGAGTTTTCAGTTTTTTTAAAAACAAAAAACCAAAAACAGGAAACAAGAATAAGGTGTTTTCACTTTTCTGTTGCCATTTTTCAAAATTAGCATGATTTTAATAAGTTTGACTAATTTTTTATTCATTACATTACATATATCATACACTTTTAAAATACAAAAAACCAAAAAACTGAAAACCGCAACAATGCCAAACGAACCCTAAGATGTCCGATTATAAAATCATATAATACAAATATTTTTGGCAAGAAAAGGGGGATAGTTGTTTTGGAGGGAAAATATTGCATCAAAAATTAACATGAGTGATGAGTCATTCTTGCTGTTTCCTTTAGTTATCTGTATACATTTATAATACGAGTAGTTGAGTTTGTGCATTGACAAACGTGACTAAAAATATTGTAACTAAAATGAAATAGAGGAAGTATGTTATCTAGAAAGACATCAGTTGGACGATATGATTCTGGATCTGAAGCATATAAACTTATAAAGGCATTGAAGCAAGTGTTGGGCACACAACAAATATATAATAGAGTGGATTGCTAAATACCGTCAACATTTTTTTATCAAACTACCAACAAATAAAGGCATTGAAGCAAATAATGTTGGGCACACAACAAATATATAATATAGTGGATTGCTAAATGCCACCAACGTTTTTTATCAAACCAACAACAAACGTGACATGATGAAGGGACAAAATTACCGTTATTCATCACGGTTTTGGGTGTTTTTGTCCCTCGGGAGAGTTACAGCTCGAAGACTGGTCCAGCGCAGTCCGTACCTGCAAAACACGGAGACTCCGGTTGGTAGGAGCTTCGCCTCCAACGATCAAGTTAGAACGTGTTGGAGAGAGTAAAAAGTGCGGAAAGGTAAAAGTAAGATCTTCTCGGATTCCGAGATCAGGTGATTTCTCTGATGTAAGAGAATGTAGGGCATGATGTAATAAATTGTAGATGTCCCCAAAATGGGGGGAATCTCCCTATTTATATATTCATTGGAAAATAAAATGTGCCCTTGATTAGGTCACTCTGACCTAATTCTGCTGGGCTGCGCTGAAAAAAATTACGACTTTCTCGGAATTTGGGCCCTGTAGGCCGCCTTTTCTCCCAAATTCTGGGAATGACACGTGTTAAAAGGGAGATTGGTCCAATTTGGACGAATCTAGGTCTGACACGTGTCGCCACCTGGTTGGCCCACGTGGCATTGGTAAGATTACCCAAAACAATCTCTACTTTGCTTTCTCTCTCCTAAGACCATCAAACCTCAAATTCAATCGTCAACCACCATCCACGCCACCACCACCACCACCCAATGCACCATCACTGCCCACAACCACCATCACCTAAGGCTGTCAAAAGCTGACACAACACGATAACTCGACACGAAATAAGTGGGTTTGGGTCAAGGATTCTCGACCCGTTTACATAATTGGGTCGACACAAACACGATACGAAATTAAACGGGTTAGGTTAGGTTGACATTTTCAACCCGAAACCGACAAACATAACCCAATTATATAAATGGTTGAACGACAATCTGCATGTAACCCGAACCCGGCACGCTTAATGTATCAATTAAGTAGTAATAAAACTGATTTTTTTTTATTAAAAGTTGTAGTTTTGTAAATTACCTTGACACGATTTATACATTTTGGTAATTTTTTGGCGGTTAATTTGGCGAAAAAAAAAATATAATTTTCATCTAGCAATTAATTTGAGACAATTCTTATATATGGTTGTATTGTTAAAACTACTAGCTTTAAACCCTTGTGGTGTCATTTGTATAAACTACTAACTTAAAACTGTTGTAACATCTTCAATGAGTTAGAGTCTATTCTCTTCAGCTTAATTTCTGATCAGTTTAGTTCAACTCCAATCAGTTCAGCTCAGTTCAGTTTAGTTCAGTTCCTAATTTCCTTCTCTCATAAACAATTCATTTCACCTCTATTTAGTTCAGTTTAGTTCAAATCAGTTTAGCTCAAATCAATTCAGTTCAATTCAGCTCAATTCATTAAATCAAAACAAACTCTTAATGATGTCTATCTTATTTATTTTTGAATTAGATATTAGAAAATTTTGACTTTTACTATCACTAAAATACACCATTTTGACTTTTTCTACCCATCTAAATTTTATTTTATTTTTCTACCACCTAAAAACAAAAAAATTATAGGTTATGCCACCACCATTGAAGTACAAAGTTTAACAAAAATCCAAAACTGAGGCTATGGTGGTCGAATTTGTCCGCTAAATCCGGATCTAAAACAAACAAAACCAAATTCAACCTTCATAGCCTTGGTTTTGGATCTTAAGTTCTCAAAATTTGCTCGATTGACGGTGGTTGGAGTATGGGTATTTTCTTTATCTTCTTTTTTCTATCTCCACTTGTTCCTCTATTTCACTAGTGGTATGCACGGTGGTGGAAAAAGTTTTTTTTTTTTTTTAATTAAAAAAGGGTATGGTAATGGCCTGAATGGGGGCGGTGGAGTGGTGATTGTGGGTGCAGCGTAGGCAGTTGTGGTGGTTTTAACTTAAGGGCAACTAAGAGTGGGAAAGGGGATGGGGATTGGCAGCGTGCAGTGGGTGGGGCCGGTTACCCAGGACAGTAATCGGTTTCCAGCGTTGTTTGACCACAATAACCGGCGTCCAAAACCAGTTACTGTCCCGGATTACCGGTTTTGAGCACCGACTGACTACGATTAACTGGCATCCAAAACCGGTTATCGTGGTGTTTAATCGATTTTGCATGCCGATTGTGAGCGCTGGAGAATTTTTTCTTTTTTTTAAAAAAAAAAGTCAGAGGTATTGCCCTTCCACCTCCGGTGCACTTTCGCCGGGACCGCCGCTTCCCTTCATCTGCTGCTGTTGTGGTTGATGGTGGTTGGGAAGTGGTGGCTGTGGCCCTTATGAATTATGGGTGATAAAGGAAGATGGGTGGGGGACTGGGGGTATAGTAAGGGTAGTGGAATCCATTCACTTTAAATGTCTGTGGTTTTGATAAAAATTGTTGGGTATTTAACACCAAGCTCAAGCGTCTTATAATCTAATTTGTCCAATTTTTCAGTATACAAAAGACATTATGGGTTGATAAAGGAATTATGAGACAAATTTATTTATTTATTTATTTTGGTATTCACTTTGGCATTGCGTATACCCGAATCAAACAGTTTTTTGCCTTAGGTATTGCCACTTTACAAAGCATAAGGAAAGGAAAAGCATATCTTAAAGAAAAATACATATAATCAAGATAACTCAACAACATGACATGATGCCGTTCAAAAAAAAAAAAAAAAAAAAAAAACATGACATGATGAAAAATTGAGGAAATCAAAATGCTAGCCATATATTTACAATGATGCATTGTTCTGAAAGTCGATAGAACTCTGGTGAAGAGAGAGGCAACATCAGATTGCAGCAGCCTCTGCCTCTTGGAATTCCATGTATTGGTGCTATTTTAGCTTACTTCAAAGTGAAAAAGTAAGCTGAGTTTCTCAGGAGGGGTGATTAGTACTATATGCAGAGAATGCAGCAGCGTGGTTTTAACTCGTAAGCTCCTAGGTCCATTGTAGAAACTGTTTGTAAGACGAGCCGTATCTCAGCAACATCTTGCTGTTATTACTGGGCAGCAAAGCATTATACACTTCCTCTCAATCTACAATCGGCAAGATTCACTGATGATTATACTATCCTGATATGATTAAATGCTTTAGAAAGTCTGTTTATATCCAGTAGCTGAATCAAGAGCTCAAATGCTTTAGCAAACTCAAACTGTGGTTCTATTTACATGGGGGAAATAAACAAATGACCAAGTATGTTACATGACATGAAACTTGTCTGCCATGAATACAGTTACATAGCCTACACTGATGGAAGCAGCCAAGAAAAGAAACCTAGCTTAGTTTCTCCCTTTGCACGTTTAGAAGAATAATCGGCCAACATGTTCCATAGGTCTCCAACAGTCCAATTATGGGACAGAATCCAATTACACACCTGCAATAAATTCCCAAGAGAGTAGAATATAAGCATGTAAACTATCAAGTAATAATGCAATTCTGCAAATGCCAAAACAAGTTTTTAAATATTGAAGCAGGAGTTTATGTGAGGAAAGCAATTGATTACAAGAGCAAGCGACTTTTAAAAGCAGAGACACTATGACGACGCTTGAATCATTTTCTTCATAATGTATGTAACCAAGAAGGACATACCTGATCCAAATTTTGCAATGCATCCAATTCAAACGTGTAATATAAAATGAAAGGTCTCAAGGCCTGATAAGGTTAAAAAACATCAGGAGCAAAACATTAGGTTTGGTTGAAAATGGATAGAACCCCATTGATAAGAAGGAAAACACAATAGCATGGTTCTCCAACACAGAACATATCTGAAATAATTAAAAAATTAATCAGAAGAAAACTAAACTTAACCTGTAAGGTAGGTTTTTATAAGTTGCAGATACTAGAATTTTGATAAAAGAGCGATAGAGAGATTTAAAATTTCAAGCGGCTAAAGAAAGAAGCTAAAACCAGTCATCTTATATTGATTGAACTAGCAGAACTATGATTAGAAAATTAAATGGCAACAGATGGAACAGATGCATACACAGCAAACCAGATAAAACACCTCTATAACTACTAACAGTAAGGAACCATTGTTCGATGTGGAATAGGTGAGATATTACAGCTGATGGTAGTACTAATATATTACGTGTCTCCATAAGTTTAACCTTACAAGCAGTCACGTACATCCAACTTCCAACAATCTAGAAAAGCTGAAAATAACAGTGCTGGAAAGAAGAGTCACCTGAGATGCAGCTAACCACTGTATTACAGTCTTAACTTCAGGATCTCCACCAAAAGCACCACAGCCCCAGTTTCCAGTAGCAATCCCAACATCGCTATGATGAACTTGCAGCTTACTGTCCACACTCTGAGTGGCTTCTGCTTCATCAGTGTCCATTGAGGTCCCAGAGCCTTCAATTAACTGTAGATGGACAAATGATCTTGAACCAGGTCAATCTGAATATTTAGCCTATGCTACTTGATAGCCAAAACATAATTTAATCCATCATAGTCTAGCAAAAGCAGTTATGAATCGGAGGGGTCCAACAATAAAAGAAATAGAGAAAAATGAACAGAGTGAAATAGCAAAGCATGATGGGTTCAAGAAAGTTGACTCCTTACAGTTGCTTGAATTTTAGAAATGTTGGCGTCCATAAAATCATTAGCAGGACGAGCTTCACAAGAGTCATAACATTGCAACGGGATCTGATACTGCTGATCTTTAGGTTGATCCAGAAAACCACAGAATGCCTTGTTAACCTCTCTGTCAAAATTCAAAAAGTTAGCCATGTCACCTTAATAACAGAAAATGAATTTCAGCAATTTACAAAGAAGGGTATCTGTACATCTTAAATATATCCAAGAACCTCTGACACCAACCCATTGCTCTCAACAATTGTTTACAAACTGTACATTTCTTTATTATCGATCCCAAGTTGACAGCATACACAATTCCCCCTAGAGCCCGAAAATAAATGTAGAAGAAAAATTCATCAGATTTGGACTTTTTTCAGATCAGCTTACTTGCAATATCGACCAAACCAGACCATCCCAAAAGTAGATTGGAAAGGGAAGGAAAAGTGAAAGCTAAGCTTGCAAGAACTAGTGCAACTGATACTTGATAGATGGAAGCCTTCCTTACTTGAAAACCTTAGCTAGACAAAGCCTAAATACAACTATCTATTAATTATTGTCCATCCTAATTGGTAAAGAAAGCAATCAAACACAAATAGAACACTCTAAGTACCTTGACCAAACAGCTCAATCCATACTTGATAATCTTTTCAAAATAAAAATAAAAATTCATGTCATGGAAGTAGGGAATATTCCAGAAAAGCAAGAGTCATCACATCCTTCTCTATAAGCTCTTCAGCTAAGTATCTAACATGCATTCCAGCGGCGGATAAGTCTAGTGAACTATTTTATATTACTAAGCCCTTATTAGCATACTTACAATCGTTTCAAATTTGACAGGACCTAAGAAGCAATAATTTAATGCAAGCTCAACAACTCTTTACTCTTGAACTAGTTACAAATAAACAATCCGAACCTCAAGAGGCAATCAGCTCTGTATTGTCTCAATCCAGGGCGAGACAATGCATCTATTGCAACAATTTTTGTTGTACGTCTTCCCAAAGAATCTACTTCTCTCAAGTCCACATGGTTGCCAGCATAACGGAATGTTGAGGCATATCTGGCAAATTTAAAACTTTCAGAATAAAAAGATGCATATTTATGATGCCATCTAACAAGTAAAATAATGCCTATAGAAAATTATGCTAGTAAAATGTAGAAGAGCTATTGATTTCATCAAGCATGACTTCAGTAAATTAAACAACTTCAACTGTAATCATTTTTTATTATCATACCTTATAACTTCAACCTTAAAGAAACAAGATTATATGAATTATCCTCAAGGTTGAAGTTATTAAGATACACGTATCTAATAGCAATGTGGGAATATATGGCTAAAATTAACCATATCACGTATTTATCTAATTTGAAAATAGATAAATAAAGTGAATGTAAAAGACATGTTCTAGGAGAGAAATGTGGGTGTGATGGCAAAATGAAAGGAGAGTATTTTTGCAAACAACATGCTACGTTATTTCTTTAGATAAAATAGTTTCAGCCATTCGTTGTTTAGCATTAAGTTATTATATAATGCATAACTTGTAAGTTGATAATTAATTCAATCATTTCTATTCACGTCAAAGTTTATTATTACCTTCATAGTGGTTATTTTGTTTATCCCAAAATATTATTTATCTTTATGAGGTATCGATTTCATATTATCTAGTAGAAGCCACATTTCCGCTGCGAGAGCTCTAACAATTGGTATAAGAGTCGACGTCAAAATCTTAAGTGGCAAATTTTTTTTTGATTTTGAAACTAATTATAATGGCATCTACTAGTAGAACAGTTAAAGTTGGGAAATATGAAATCGAAAAATTCAATGGTAAAAATGATTTTTCCTATTGGAGGATGCAAATGAAAAATTTGCTTGTATCACAAAAGTTGCATAAGGCATTGGCAGGAAAAGAACAAAAAACCAGGGACATGAAGGATGAGAATTGGGAAGAGTTAGATCTTGAAGCACGAGCGGCTATAATCTTATGCCTTGAGAGGGACGTTGCATTCTTAGTAAATGAAGAAGCAACAACCGCTGGAGTGTGGACAAAGTTAGAGACTAATTTCATGACAAAAACTCTAACAAATAGGATCTACTTAAAATCCAAATTGTATACATGCAAGATGGATGAAGGCACCTCAATCCGGGAGTATATTATTAAGTTTGATAGGATTATATCAGACTCGAAGGATATTGACGTGAAGGTAGATGAGGAAGACCAAGCACTTATGTTACTGCGTTCATTACCGAAATCCTATGAAAATCTGGTTCAAACATTGATGCTTGTGGGTGATACTCTAACCATGGATGAGACTAGAACATCGCTTTTAGCGGATGACCTTCGAAAGGTTGCTACAAGCGGAATGATGTCTGATAATGGAAGAGAACACAACGAACAAGCTAGGTCATTTTAAAGCTAATTGCCCAAAGAGGGTAATATTCAAGAAGAACAACAACGACAACTCCAGAGGAAAACAACATGAAAATCAAGAAGCTAGTTTTGTCTCAAATGACGAGGATGATTATTGTTACTTAGTTTCAGAACAATGCAATGAGATATCCAGTAAATGGATGCTTGATTCAGGTGCATCACACCATATGTGCCCAAACAGGAAGTGGTTTACAACTTACTAGAGTTTGGATGGTGGTACTGTTTTGATGGAAAATGATCATGCTGGTACTTTCCGAATAAAAATGCATGACGGAACAATAATTACCTTAAAGGATGTGAGACATATTCCAGATTTGCGGAAGAACATTATTTCTCTTAGTTTATTAGAGAAAAATGGTTGCAAAATAGTCTTGGAGAATGGAGTTTTAAAAGTTGTTCGTGGTTCCTTGGTAGTGATGAAGGGAATTCGTCACAGTAATCTTTATCCGCTTTCGGGGACAACTGTTACAGGTGATTTAGCAATTGGAATTGGTGGAAGTAAAGACCAAACAGAATGCACGAGGATATGGCACATGCGCCTTGGGCATATGTCGGAAAAGGGTCTATCATTTCTTAGTGGACAAGGTTTGTTGAAGAACATGAAGAAACCACAAATGGAATTTGTGAGCATTGTGTGTATGGAATAGCACACAAGGTGGAGTTCTCTACCAGCAAGCACAAGAGTAGAGGATTGTTAGACTATGTGCATACAGATGTTTGGGGTCCGACTAAAGTTTCTTCCAAGGTGGTTACATGTATTTTGTTACATTTGATGATGATCATTCTAGATATGCTTAGATTTATTTTCTTAAGCATAAGAATGAGGTATTCGACATTTTCAAGCGGTGGAGAGCAATGGTTAAGAATAGGAAGAAAGCTAAAAATTGTACGGTCTGATCATGGTACCGCATACACAGAAGCGAGGCATTATGAGACACTGGACTGTCATAGACACACCACAACAGAACGAAGTCGCAGAAAGACTGAATTGTACACTACTTGAGAAGGAAAGGCGTATGCGCTCTAAATCTGGATTAGGCAAAGAATGGCGGGCGGAGTCGGTTGCTACAGCTTGTCATATAGTAAATCGATCCCCACATTCTTATTTAGATGGTGACACGCCTTATAGGGTGTGGTCAGGGGAACATGCAGATTACACGAGACTAAGAGTGTTTGGGTGCACGGCTTATTATCATGTCAAGGATAATAAGCTTGACGAAAAAGCCAAGAAAACAATCTTTTTAGGGTATCCAAAAGGGGTTCAAGGCTATCGTCTTTGGAGTGTAGAAGATTCTAAATTTGTAATTAGCAGAGATGTCATCTTTGATGAAAGATCTATGGTAGCTTTATCGAAAGTTATGGTGCCCGATGATGGTGATGTTAGAATGACCATAAATACTCAAGTGGTGGAGATAGAATCTAAAAACCAACAAGATTCTAGTCATGTTAAGGTGGCCCGGTGTTTCTCAGGATGAGGAAGAGGATGATCTGGATCATAAGGAAATTCAGCCGGAAAATGCACATGTACTACAACAACAGCAGGATTCTTTGGCATCCACTAAGCCAAAGAGAAATTATAAATTAGTTCAGAAGTTTGAGTCAGACAAACCGCTGAGGTATTACGGGCATGTAAACTTGGTAGAATATGCACTCTCGGTGGAGGATGATGAGCCGGTCACCGCTGTCAAAGACAAGGATAGCGAGAGTTGGTTGGTTGCTATGGAAGAAGATATGCAATCTCTTCATAAAAACAAGACATGGGAGGTAGTCCCATTGCCCGTGGGAACGACTGCTATTGGTTGTAAGTGGGTGTATAAAAGAAAAGAGGATCTTTCCAAGTTAAATAAAATAAGGTATAAGGCTAGGTTAGTGGCCAAGGGATTTGCACAGAAAGAAGGTGTTGATTACAATGAGATATTTTCTCCAGTTAAGCATACTTCTATTCGGGTGCTATTGAGTCTTGTAGCTCACGGAGATCTTGACTGAACAACTCGATGTGAAGACAACCTTCTTACATGGTGACTTGGATGAGGAAATTTATATGTATCAACCCGAGGGATTTAAGGTTGAGGGTAAAGAGAATCAGGTATGTCGCTCGAGGAAATCACTTTATGGGTTAATGCAATCTCCTCGACGGTGGTACAAGGATTTGATTCTTTTATGTTAAAACAAGGGTTTTCCATAAGTAATTATGATTGTTGTGTATACATTCACAAACTTCGTGGAGATGATTATATTTATCTCCTATTGTATGTGGACGACATGCTTATTGCTTCTAAGAGCAAGGTGAAGATAGATAGGTTAAAAACTCAACTCGGTGAAGAGTTTGAAACTAAAGACTTGGGCGCTGCAAATAAAATACTAGGTATGGAGATTAGAAGAGAGAGGTCAAACCGAAAATTGTTCTTGAGCCAAAAAGGCTACATTGAGCGGGTTATAGAAAGGTTTGGGACGAAAAGTGCTAAGTCAGTGGTGACACCATTGGCTCCACATTTTAGACTCTCTGGTAAACAATCTCCCACTTATGCTGGTGCAGTTGGCAGCTTAATGTACACCATGGTGTGTACACGTCCAGACATTTCACAAGCAGTCTTGTTAGTAGGTTCATGGCGAACCCAAGTAAAGCACATTGGGAAGCAGTGAAATGGATTTTACGGTACTTTGAAAGGTACCAATGATACATGTTTATGCTTTGGTGGAGATACAAGTCAAATAAGTGGCTTTGTTGACTCGGATTATGCCGGTGATCTAGATAGAAGACGATCTACTACTGGTTATGTGTTTAAACTACATGGTGCTCCAATTAGTTGGCGATCAATGTTACAAGCTACGGTGGCTCTATCTACGACAGAAGCCGAGTATATGGCTATGGCAGAAGGAGTTAAGGAAGCATTGTGGTTGCGGGGAATTCTAGATGATTTGGGGTTGAAGCAGAATAGTGTGAATCTAAACTGTGATAGCCAAAGTGCTATTCACTTGGCTAAGAACCAGGTTCATCACGCTCGTACCAAACATATAGATGTAAGGTATCATTTTGTACGGGATGTCATAGAGGAAGGTAATATTTATCTTATAAAGGTGCATACAAATGAGAACCCTGCAGACATGTTAACCAAAATTGTCTCGGGAAGCAAGTTCCAACACTGTTTGGAATTGCTTAACATTATCTCATGTTAGGTAATACATGGAGAAATAAATTGAACTACGAATGGTTAAATCCCTGTGGAGGGTACGTAGGCAATCATTGTTAAATGGTGCAACCGGATAAGGATAACACAATTTGTTCGTCCACAATTTGAATGTTTTTCAAATTATGAACGAGGTGGAGAATTGTGGGAATATATGGCTAAAATTAACCATATCACATATTTATCTAATTTGAAAATAGATAAATAAAGTGAATGTAAAAGATATGTTCTAGGAGAGAAATGTGGGTGTGATGGCAAAATGAAAAGAGAGTATTTTTGCAAACAATATGCTACGTTATTTTTTTATATAAAATAGTTTCAGCCATTCGTTTGTTTAGTATTAAGTTATTATATAATGCATAGGTTGTAAGTTGAAAATTAATTCAATCATTTCTATTCACGTCAAAGTTTATTAGCATTAAGAAAGTTTATATTCTTATATTTATTATTACCTTCATAGTGGTTATTTTGTTTATCCTAAAATATTATTTATCTTTGTGAGGTATCAATTTCATATTATCTAGTAGAAGCCACATTTCCGCTGCGAGAGCTCTAACAAGCAAAAAGATCAAAAATTAGATTTTACCAGCACTAACCCTGAGTAGTTTGAGAAACGTTCCGTACCCACAATCTCTATCGCCTCATTGTCTGACATGGAAGGCAAAAACAGTATGCCAGCAATCAATTCAGGATTGATCATGAAACGAATCTCCTCCTACAATAAGATTAATCACCAACGAAACAGGCCATTTCTTCAGACAAGAGACAGAAATCAATGCAGTGCAGGATTAATGAAAAAAAGGTCATCCAACAAGACAATCGACAATTACAAGTTCCCAGCGGCGGATAAAACTAAAACTTTGGTTAATTTCCAAACAAGACGACTAGTAGATCTATAACTCATATAGTGCACACAACAAATGTATAAAAATAACTCAAGGCGCACCAAGGAGTTTCAGAGTTTCCTGTGCTTCGTTGAAGTGAGGCGCATATAATTCTGAAAAACTGATGTGTGCCTCAATGCACCTTAAGCTGTGCCTAGGCGCGCCTCCGTGCACATTAGCTGCGCCTCATCAAAATAGCTTCACCTAGACCACAAAAAGTGCATGAACCCTGACGCCTTGCGCCTAGGTGTGCCTTTTCGAACACTGCACACAACTGACCAAAAACCAGGAATATATTTTGACAGATGAGCAAGTAATTTTCACCATGCACCTAGGCATTGCAAAATGCAAACCGTGTTTTCTTCAGAATTAGAAACATAATGTCATTAATAAGTTGATAGCAGAATCACACCAACAGTCCAGTTACTCCAGTATACAAGCAGATAGGCTACATATCACTCAATTACTTATAGTCGTGCACTAGTCCATTATAATACTAGTACCTTTACCTATGAAGAACCTTTTCAGGAATATCATCTCACCTACTGCCACAAAGGTCTCAAAACCTGACCTTATGCATGAGGTGCCCTTTTAAAGCACTATATATGACTCATAGATCTACTAGTCATCTTGTTCGGAAATTAGCCAAAGTTGTGGGTTTGTGGCAACAGGTTATAGATCTATCAATCTATATTTGCAGGAATGAATCCGTACAAAAACAGTTATAAAAAAAAAAAAAATCAGGCGAGTGTTTTTTATCAGACCACATGTAAATGATGTCCCACTTGATCTATTGATTGTCCATAAACTCAATACCATTTTAAAATTGATTATGACCCTAAGTACATAACCTAAGACAAAGGGTGTGATAAAGTATGTAAGTATAAAAGTGAGAGGGAAGTTTCCCCGCCACTCCCTCATGTCGTCCTGTGTCTCTCTATGCATCAAGTATTTCAAGACCCATTACATAAAAAATTAAAAGAATTTCACATCTGATTAACAAAAAAAGGTATGAGAAGAGCATTAGAAAAAAAAATCTTTGTAATAATTTCCAGAAATTTTTAAGGTGAAGGCTTCAAAACATAAACTAGAGACAAACACCTAAGCAGACAATTTTAAATTAAATTGGATGATACAGATTAGACAAATTAATGTCATTTGGTTAAAAGCATATTGAGCATCCATATCTCCAATAGGTGTAGTTTAGCCTACCTGAACACAACCCTTGGATAAAGCACCACCACCAAGCTTCTTGTTTGCGAAATCGACTTCCAGAGCTCCTCTCGACTGGTCTTCTATCAAGCCTGAAGGGAAGATCTTTCACAGGAATGTATAAGTTTGAAAAATGTTCCATTGTATAATACATTGTAAGAAATAATTGTAACCAATTCCTGCAGTAGATACTTTTTTCTAGTACAATTATTTGTTACCTCAAACAAGCAGAGGGGAGCTATAGAGTTGGCCCAGAAATCAGCAGTGGGATAAGAAACAAGAGGTAAATTATGCTCCAGAGGAAGAACTTTCCTTTCAAATGAAACAAAGCCCGTCGGTAAACATGAATGTATCCTCTCAAAGTAATGAACAATGCATTTGATTTTGTGCTCTTGATTTTCATTGTATTTTTCATACAACATCCTGAAAATATATAATTAAAAAAAAAATGTATAGCATTTATAGAATCAGAAGAGTTTGATTAAAGAGAAGCAAGTGATAGCAGAACTAGACATCCCAAAAAATAAATAATAAATAAATAAATAAATAGAATTAGGCGTGAATTGGAAGATATTGAGCAAGTCAAATCACAAAGTTGCGGACTACTTGAATTTAACCCACATTCCTCATGACATATCATACAACATGATATTTCATATATTTGTGCTTGGTGCAAGCATGGTGGACCTGATTCTTAGTCAAATAAATCGCATATTGGCTATGACAACTTAGATCCACAAAAAATTTTGCTTTAGAAGACCTGACAATCACAATGCTTCCTTAACTCCTATGCAGATATGCAATAGCCATGTATGCAGCCACTTTGGCAAGCCTTAAAATTTAACTAATTGGAGTATTGTGTACTTTAAGTACTAATTAGTAGTAGATCATTGTTATCTAAAACATCTAAATCAACGAAGCTGCTTATCTGACATATATCTCCACCAAAGCACAAACCTGTGTCAATTCAATTGTACCTTTTTAATTACCTTAAATCCACTATATTGCTTCCTAAATTGATGTGCCTTACCTGGGTTTGCATGAACCCTGTAACAAACACTAATTGCTTATTAAATGCTTGGAGACTTTGGACGCATACACACCATGTCATACATAATAATTGCCAATTGCACTAGCATAATGTACATTTTTCATACACGCCTTATCGGTAGTGAGAAAAGGTTTGCAAAGATCCTAAAATGTAAAGCCAAAGGATCCAGACTAATTGTAGCCTATAAAAATAGATTCTCTTCACACCTATACACACATTACAACAATATAATGCTCCTGTTGCTTCTTACTATTTTAGTAATCAACATTAAACCTTTGAAACACTTTTGACCAACATCTCTGATTTACTTTTATTTGTACTTTGAACTGCTTTTTTGAAAAATTTATGTGTCATTGTGTGGTTAACTCTTCCATCTAATATCACCACCTTCTGGTCCTAACCTTTTTTGTTACTTATTGAATGCTCCAGATACTCAGTTTTACTTCTGCTATAGCTAAAAGGCCTAAAACTGAAGCCTTCAAATTTTAACCTCTCCATAGTTCCTCGTCAACTAATACAATTTTTATCTACAAAAACAATTGTATACATAGCAACTCATCTAGAAATGTCTTTAATAACTAATCTCTCATCCATAAAGGTTCAATAAAGAAAAAAAGAAAGGGTTGAAAATCATGATGTAACCCAATCATAATAGGAAAAAACATCTGCATACACGGTGATACACCTCTTCGGTTCTTCATAATTTCTAACAATTTACTTCACTTCACAAAATGTATCCTTCTAATATCATTCTACGGTAGTACTGATATACTAGCATGGATAACCTATTTTGTGACAGCCCATCAAAGTACTTCCTTAAGGATCTCTCATGCGCCTTCTTTGACATATCTATGAAGACCACATGCAAGTTGATGCAACCCTTGGCTTTCAAACCCTCTCAATGAAAGATGATACAATCAAATAAACAATACTCATAAAGGACCGGATCAAGCAGAGGAACTAAGACAATTTCATCAAAATTTACATCATAAGATATTAAGCTCCAAATAACTCATCTCCCAACATATTGCAAGGAATTTTGATAGAAAGGCTTTTCACTTTGACAAAAGTTTTCATCATGAAATAGTGAAATACAAAAAAAAAATGTGATAGTTCCACAGAGCAAATACATATATAAAGAACCAACTCCAAAATGAGAGCTAAGAACTAAATCCTTGTGTTAAAAGTCAGACAAAATAACATTATAGTTCATCATTAATTCAATAGTGCAACACTTTATGCACATTTTTTTTATGCTTTTAATGAAGAAAATACATTAATAATTCATTTTGTTATTTTCTTTGATTTAAACAAAGTTTTAGAAATAAATATACCTTGTCATGTTGGTTGGGTAATGTTTTATTTTTGCTGTCTAAAAAAAAAAAAAAACAAAGTTTTAGAAAACTTTTTGTTGATTCAAATTTAAAAATAGAGAGGAAAAAAAATAGTCAAAAAGTAAATGAAATTGCATTAAAAAGTAATAAAAACTATGAACGAGGTGGAAAAGTTGCAAAATTATGAAAACGCCATTAATGGCATGGGAAGCATATGACCATCTTGAAATTGTCATTAATGACACAGGAATCATTTAGACCATCCAATTATGATAATCTAAGATTCTAAGGGCTTAAATAGGTTCTTTGAACCCATTTTAGGCTCCTCCCCCCTTCCCCCACCTCTCTTTCTCTCTCTGAACGAAAGCTAACAAAATCTAATATTAAATACTTCAACATGATATTTTGTATGCACTTAATTTTTTAAAGCATTGGGCTACTCAAAAAGTTCAACTATACTGCTCACATAACAAACACACTTGAACATCCATCAAGAAAGAAAAGTAATAACATACGCAAATAGTCTATCAAAGTTGATCACTGGTAAATGGTTGGCACCTCTATTGGCACTTGGAAACAAGCAAAAGAAGGAGCATGATAGCAGAGCAGCAATAAGCTCCTGCACAGAAACATAGAAACTTGCTGTTAAAAGAACTCTTCACATTACAAATTATGACATGTAGCAGTGAAAACAAAACACTACTCTTACAAGTGCCAAAGCAAACAATAATTTACAAACTATAATCCTACGTATTTTACATATGGCTGATACTCACAACAAATGTCACTCACTCGTCGCCATGAAATCCAACGCCTACTGCACAACATTACACTGTAAGAGCACATGTAAATTTCACTTTTTATCCCTATAAAAATGCTCTAGCTGTACATTCTCTGATTTTCTTGGTAAATTCCTTTTAATATCCTGAACAAACGGCTGATGAATTACATAGTGACATGACTGACATCAAGTAGATACCTTCTTCAGTCCCAAACTTATAGCATAGATGTTCCCTATGTTTTTCTTCTTAGGATTGATATGAACTTAGAACTCAAAGTTATGATGCAACAGAGATACATGAACTTAAAAGTCAAAGTTATGATGCAACAGAGATACAGTAACTTAAAAGTCAGATAAAGCAGCAATACATACTTTTCGATGTTTTCTTGGAAAAGAGAAGAAATGTTTTAGATACAAGTAAAAGCTACTCTGGAACTCCCTGTCCTAAAATTAATTTTAGTAAGAGCTCTAACTTATCTCTAAAGCTGAGTTCTACAAGTATCACCCTCTATTTTCTCATCAATACAGTCATTTTGATATATAATGAGCACCAGTGACGGATCCAGGGGTAGCACTAGACAATTAAAAAAAAAAAAAAATCGATTTATTTTTTATTTGCGCGTGTCTTTGTGACATGAATTTTAAGATTGTACTAATTACACCTTAACTAGACAATTAAAATTACTCCTTATATGACAATTCCTGGATCCGCCACTGTGTATATAATCTACTTAATGAGGATCCTGGGTAATGCGGATCCAGGAATTGTACCTTAACTAGACAATTAAAATTACTCCTTATGTGACATGAATTACTTTAATGCACCCTGTAACTATTAATCATGATGTCAAAAGTTTTACAAGTATATAATAAATTTAAAATGAGACTTAAAAATAAAAGTGAATGACAACCAAAATTTAAGACTACAGAATTTAAAAAAATACAGAGATCAAATTAGCATTTTTTAAAAATTGTGAAAATAAATAAAATGTAAAAGTAGAGGTGAATGGCCAATATCTAATAATTTTAAAAAGAGACATAAAAATAAAAATGAATAATTTTGTTTCAAAAAAAAAAGTGAATAATTTAATACTACAGAATAAAAAAAAAATATAGAGAGATTAGTATCTTTTTAAAAAAATGTGAAGATGAATAAAATGTAAAAGTAAAGGTGAATGGCCAAGATCTAATAAATTTAAAAAGAGACATAAAATTAAAAGTGAATAGCGACCAAAATTTAATACTACACAATTTTTTTATTAAAAAATAGAGGGATTAGGATCTTTTTAAAAATTGTGAATATTTTTGGTGTTCTATCCGGTTCACCCTTGGGGATCGAACACAGGTTCTCCCTACCAAGTGTAGTCCCAATCACCACTACACCAACACCCAATTGGTAAAAATTGTTTATATGAATATGGAGTATAATTATAAATTTAAAAAGAGACGTAAAATTAAAAGTGAATAGCGACCAAAATTTAATACTACAGATTTTTTTTTTTTAAAAATAGAGAGATTAGGATTTTTTAAAAATTGTGAATATGAATATGGAGTATAATTACAATAACAATATTATTGTTGAATTATTTATTTATTTATTTATTTATTTATTTTTTACTATTGTTGATTATTAATTGGAAGATCTTATCTTAATCAATCTTTTTTTTGAATGGAATCTTAATCAATCTAATTGTAAATAAAATGTGGAAGAAAGTAGGAAATTTAATTGAGCAACAGTAGACTTCTGAAAATAATAGAAAGTAAAAACAAAAAGGGAAGGGTATGGGACTCGAACCCCCAACCATCTAGATTGATAAAACCCACTTTAACCACTAGAGCAACACGCAATATTAATGACATTCTGCGAATTATATTACTTATTAATTTTTTTCTAAATTTTTGGGGGTAGCACGTGCTACCCCGGGTTCCTTAGTAGATCCGCCAGTGATGAGCACTACTGCAATGTAGCAACAAAATATAAAAAAAAATAAAAAAAAAATTGTTACTAGCAACTAATGGATTAGTCAATTTAACCACGTGCAGATATCTATATATCATATATAAGATACTTGACTGTCGTCTGTGTAATTTTTGTTCTGGTTCCGGGGTTTACATATACTCATAATTCTTGTTATAATTGCAATTGAGAAAAAGAAAAACGGAAATAAAGAGTTTTCGATTTTTTCTTGAAAAGATGCAATACTGATTAGTTATTCTTTGGATTTTCTTATGTCATTAGGTAAACATAATTTGAAATCAAAATTTACGAATCGTTCATGAAACCGCAGTCAAGCCAATAGTTAATGGTTCCAATTTATCGTGTTTATCATGAATTTTGACTGAAAGTCCGTAATTTTTGGTCTGAATCGAATCAAAACAAAAAAAAGAAAGATTTTGCTTTTAGTAAGTAGTGGAAGGGCAACCACGGAAAAGAGATTCAAAATGCAAGTCCAATAAAATAAATAAAAAACGAAGTGCAGTAATCTACCCCCAAAAGGGACTATTTAAGTATCGTCTATTTTGTATCGTTTTGGCGGCATGGCCGAGTGGTAAGGCGGAGGACTGCAAATCCTTGTTCCCCAGTTCAAATCCGGGTGTCGCCTGATTCTAATTAACAAAAGACTCGAACTCCCTTATCAACTGCTATAATCGATAACTCCCCGAATTCCTCGTCGGCCGAGGGGAAGGAGAAGAAGAGGTCTCTTGGTACGTACTTGTATTTGTGGGGTTCTCAAAAAAGAAAGTTCTGTAAATTTTTGTGTCTAGGATTCAAGAAAAGATTTGACTTTTAGTAAGTAGTAGAAGGACTATCGAAAACTCTCCATTCCCTTCCAGCCCTATTGACGTGATTACTGACTGGGCCTTGAAGTCGGCGGGAGCAACTAATGGATTCACTGTCATCAGTGACAATGATACCAAATTAACTTTTCCAGGCATTTCATCAACAAAAACTGTAGGTGAACATTTATAAAATAGTGAAGGCCATATTGTCTAAACCAATGCTTTCTGTTGCGTGAAACATTTTAACCATTTTTACAATTAAATAAAGATAATAATAAATTGTGGGTAGATACCTGACTAAGGAACACAATGCCTGGTTGTTGTGAATCCAGTAAGCGAAGGCCTGTTTCAAGTCCAACCATAATAATGTCTGCATACTGATAATGAGATTCTAAAAGAGTAGGAAATCTTAGTAACAAATCAGCCATCACAGGGACAACCTCCCCAAACCATTTTGCTGCTTCAGCCCTTGACAAAAACTGCAAAAAAAAGTGACACCCTTTAATAAGATTCAGGTTGACCCTATGTAAACACTTCCTTGTCTCGTGAATAGCACCATAGATTGCTCAACGCAAATTTAGTACAAATATAGTAACAGCAGAACAGTAAACTATTTCTCTACTAAACATCTCAAGTAATTTTACACGTCTTTGAGAATTCCATCTTGTGAAGGCAAACTTGTGTTAGTTATGCAAATGAAGCAGCATGGAAATGCAAGCTTTCTCAAATGCCATGTAATATGCAAATATTCATTTTCAAATGTCACTGTAAGTTGTTCAGAAAAAGGAACTGAATCCCGAAATGTGATTTGTATCAGTTCGTTTTGTTTGTATTACTCTTATTATAATTCCCAATTTCCCATGATAAACTGAACAAATTTTTCCACTTCCTAGAAAATGGAACTGTGTTGTAAAAACATACACCTAACATTTTAGTTTCTACATTCAACCAAACTACCGTTTAGTTTATCTTTGATCCAAAACGGTTTAGCTAACACCACCACAAGCACGTTTCCACAGGGGTACTTGGGGAAAGTTTATGCATCACATTATAATTCCACTTCCACTTTCATCAAACTATGAAAATCAATAATCTTTAAGTAAATATAAAACCATGAATAGTATTACAAGAATCTTCAATTATGTGTTCTGCAATTCAGTAATCCAACCAAACAAGAAATCATCCATCTCCTGTCATCTAAACACTCTAATCTCAATAAACCCACATCAAATTTCAAATATCATAAACAAATATTAATGTCAATGCAACATTTAACTCAATTTAAAGCATGCTATAACATTGCAACAAAAATAGAAGAGAAAACCCACATCAAATTTCAAACATTATAAACAAATATTCATGTTAATGCAACATTCAAAGCAATTTGATGCATGCTATAAAATTGCACCAAAAATAGAAGAGAAAACCCACATCAAATTTCAAATATTATAAACAAATACTCATATCAATGCAACATTCAAATCAATTTAAAGCATGCTACCAAAATTGCTCCAAAAATACAAGAGAAAAAACAAAGAAATAACCTCATCAAAGAAAAGGGCATAACCATCAGCAGCAGAGGAAGCCAAAAGGTGAGGAGATAGAGAAAGAGAGTTCCTAAGATCAGAAATGGCGAGAAAGAGAACTTCTCCTGAGTCAACTCGGCTATGACTGGGGCCCTTTGAAAGCGATTTCAGAGCTTCAATAACTGGGTTTGGCCATACTAGATGGGATGATTCAAGCTTCAATGGAAGATATGGTAGAATTGATTTCAAATCTTCCCGATTTTCCATTATTGTTTCCAGCAAATTTCTTTGTAATTGACTTTAATTCAAGTTCATTTCAGTATATGAAATTTTGGAGAATTGGTTGTACTTAAATTTTGCTGGCTTGGTTGAAAAGTGATGTTCATAAACGTGCCTCGGCTACCTAAGAACGTTTTATATCAATTACAACCTCTTAGCCGAAAGTATGAGGGTACTATCTTGTGAATCGAATGCCCTTTTATGGACATGAATCAAGCCGATTAAGCATAACACAAATTGGCCACACCCGATACATGTTTGCCATAAATTTGAAATGGGATAGCCATATAAGAGGCATGCCAGCGAGGACGACGGCTCTATGTATGGACATCAGTTTCAAAAGTTGGCATGAACAAAGGCACAAACATAATAGCTTAGCCCACTCTTTCTTTGACTAATTAACCAAATATATAAATACTATTTCGTGTAAAGGAGGCTCAATAGTGTGGCAAGTGTGCCAAGCAATGCATGAACTTTGTTCTTTTATTGTTCAATACAAACTTAACATGGCATGACTTTTTTTTTTCTTCTTCTAGACACGACTCACTTGAGCATGAGGCACGCGTTGCACGATATGTGATTAATGTGAGTCTACATGACCAACATCTGTCCCCGCCCATAGGCATTCCCAAAAGTCTCAATTATATAAAAAGAAAAATATATTTAGCACTCATAACTTTTATTTACTTGGAAAATATATGGCACTACTCTAGTATGTTGAGGAACGGAAATGAAAGTATCAATTGATATAGTACATTTATGATTCATTACTTCAATTGTATTAATACATCATATTTTCCTTGCAAAATGAGGATAAATGGATGGAATAGTCATCACTTCCCAACTCATACCCCTAATGTCTAGTAGGGATCAAACCTCATAAAGACTCATTTGAAGGATTTTTCTTATCAGCGCACATACATTGTATTTGGATTATCAATCCTTCAAGTTTTAGGGGGTGATTGGGCAAAAATTGTGATTGGTTAAAACACCCTTTGTATTAATAGATCTATGGAGAAGGGAAAGAAAAAAAAAAGAACAGGTATCAATAAGGATACACTGCGTTTCTGGTGCGGCTATAAGGATACAGTGCGTTTCTGGTGCGGTTGACTGCACCATGCGGCAAGGTGCCAAATCAGCAAATGACAAAGTAACCCCCAAACAAAGTAACCCCAAGTCAAAAGTGACCCCTGACTGATTTAGTAACCCTTGACCAAGTATCCCCTGACTGACCTAGTAACCCTTGACTGACTTAGTAACCCCTGATTGACTTAGTAACCCCAAATAACCTCTAACCGACCTAGTAACCCATAAACGACCCAGTAACTCCCGACCTAGTAACCCCAAGTAATCCCTGACCGCCGACCTAGTAACCCCAAGTAACCCCAGATCGCCGACCTAGTTACCCCTAACCGGACCACCTAGTAACCCCTTACCCACCACCAACAAAAAACTACCACCAACAACCACCACCAACGAACCACTACCAACCTAAACCACCAACAAAACCAGATCTAGAACCTAGAACCATGAAACCACCACTACCCATCCATGAAACTACCACTATACACGAAAACAATTTGTTCTTTGTTCTTCAATTAAACAAAAAATTAAGTAAAAAAATTTAACAACTTACAAGTTAAATAATCAAAATTTTCAGCAAATAAGCTTGAATTCAACATAAAATTCGTAGAACATAAATTTCCAATAGTAAATCATTAATGAAGTTTGAAGAAATTTGAGCTAAGAAGATGACACTATTAATGAAGTTTGAAGAAAAAAGAGGAGAAAGAAATAAAATTGGGGGAAAAAGGAAAATGTTGTAGAAGATGGAAGAAGAAAAGAGGAGAGAGAAAGAGGAGAGAGAAGAAGAATTAAAAAAATATATATATATATATGGCTGGCCGCACCGTACGACCAGCCGTATATGAAACTTTGTGATAAGGATATTGTAGTTGAAATTTGTTACTTACGCACTCTCAATATATTCTCAATACCACAATGCAAATGAATGTTAAAATATTAATGAAATCTCCATTAACATCTCCCAATATATATGTAATCTCTAATTTGCAAACTCTTACTATATTGTATTATAAGCCTTAGCGATTTTTGGTAGAATATTATTCGATATCATCTAAAGTAAAAGTAACACAAAGTACAGGTTAGAGTTTGGCAAGTAACAAGGTGGATATGAAGATAAAATTTTGTACCATAATGAAATGTTGACATGTATGGCTATAAGGTGGTACAAGCAACAAGCCTAATAGTCATTTGTACTCTAATGAGCCAACACCATGACTAATGAGCCAACACCTATAATGTCATGCTCTTATGTGCAGAGGATGCTAGCGTGCATAATATACCAACATTTTATGCTATTGTTTATCCAACAACTAGTATTACACATATAATTTACACCTCATAATATGTATAACAATAAACATAACAAGTCACCTCTCAATAATATAATAAGTTGTTATTTAAGCGATACAAAAATCGCAATCCACCCTCAACACCAATGTGTCTTCCTATAATGTTGACTTAGCACACACCATACTAAAAATAAATAAACACAAAAACCATCTTCTAGATCGGATCATTCCATTTGCTAAGAAACAAGAACATAAATCACCTCATCTTATATATTAGTGTAAAACGCAACAAGTCGCCTTTCAACAATATAACAAGTCACCTCTTAACAATATCATTAATCGCCACCCAAAAAATCCAACAATTGCAATCGAGTAATCGACTACAAGAGGCCAAGACTAGTGCATCTCAATTTCTCACCATAGTGTTGACTTCATACATACCCCAAAAGTAAAAGAAATGAAGAACAAATCATATGATTAGGTTAGAGCAAACAAAGGCATGAATCATCCGCGCACACACACAGCACACCAAGGCTCGAAGCATGCCGCTGATGTTCCGCAGCCTGCTATAAAATCTCGCACTGATTTGTTTCACTCCAACGCACTCACCCCAACACACCAATCAACTCACTCAAAAACACACAAAAAGAAAAACTCAGCAAACCAAATCAACCAAAAATGGCTTCATTTGTAGCTTCTCAATCTTGTTTCCTTACTGCAAACCCCACTTTTTTACCTCTCAAACCCACTTCCCTTCAACAATCATCCGCCTTTCTTCGATTTTCTGCTCCTATTTCTTCCTCTTCCTCCTTTCCTGGTTTGCAATTTTTACTATTTTTTTCCTTCAATTTTTGCTCAAAAATTTGATAAATTTAAAAGGGTAGTTTTCAAAATTGCTAATTTATTGATTTCAGGTACTGGGTTGGTTCATGTTGCATCAGAAAAGAAAAATCGGGCATCATTTGTTGTGACCAATGCTGTTAGGGAGCTTGAAGGTTATGTCACTAAAGCCCAGAATTTCCGATTTGCCATTGTTAGTTTTTTCTATCCCTCTTTTTATGCTGATTTTTTTTTTTTTTTTTTTTTCAATTTTATCTTTGGTATATATATTTTTTTTTTGACAGAATTTTGATTATGTTTAGTGTAATTTGTTAGATTAGGTAGTAAGTGGGTAGTTTCACATTGAGGTTGAAATGTTGTGAGATTGCAATTTTACAATGTATATTGATGTGCATTTATAAATTTTGATAGTAGATTGAAAAGTATCGGAATTTAGTTTGACTTAGAAGAGCAAGGGGAGTTTTGAGTAAACCCATTTGATTTATTGATATTATGAAGAAATGGTGGCAATTATATTAGTTTCATCATAGATGTTGTTGGTATTGATGTATTATTATAAGGATTGTGATATGCAACAATGGAATTATTGTACTGATGTTTTGATGAGAATGAAATTTTGGAGATACTAACATTTCAGACCTTGGCTTCCTTTTTCTCTATTTAATTTGACACAGAGAAAATAAAATTGGTGGTAATCAGATAGGGAAATAGGGATTACTCAGCAAATAAGATAATGGGGATGAGGCGTTTGGGGGAGTGAGGGTAAGGGGTAGGTGGATTTGAGTATGGTTATACTGAAGTAGTGCAGTTGATAGATTTAAAGGCAAATAAAGGAAAAGTCTTGATTAGTTTCGAGGCTTTAGAGGGATTTTGCAAATCGATGACTGCTTGAATTATATATGATGGATCTAAAGAATGATATAGAGATTTCAAATTGTGGCTTATGATGTTTATGCTCTTTCTGCCAACTAGAGTTCAAGTATCCTTGGCAGAAGTCAAAGCATCAAGCATGTGCTGCATGCTGTCACTGATAAGACAATAAAAGTACTTCTAAAATATTAGCTTTATACTGGGAACAAATGCAATTTGAATTTTGTTTTGTGAATGGATTTCTTTGCTGAGTAAACTATGACAGACGTTCTAGCCGCTGGAACATATTGTATAGAAACGACTCTATGGCCCTGTTTGATTTGCCTGACAATATCTGATCAAATGGAAATTCTTCTGATGTGATATGATAAAAATCATATGAGATGATATGAACTTAGCCAAACTTTTCTAAATTGTGAAGATTATTTCTAGTGTAATTTTACGATCTAGTGTAAAAGTTTCTGATTTGATTTTATATGGACTTCTATTAACTACGAAGTGGCAATATTTAGAGCACTTAAGGCCTATATATATCATGTCTAAATCAGAATAGTCTTCAATTTTGGCAATGTATTTCCTCTTGTTTGGATTGAGCCAAAGAATTTTCTCAATTACTTGGGTGAAAAGGAATGGAAATGTGTATCTGCATTACGGAGTATTAAAATTAAGATATAATACAACCTAATAGAAAAATAGGCAAGCAAAAGGGGGAGCCAAAAAAGAAATGTGAGCGCCTAACCCGGGAGAAGGGTGCATGCAATTATTTGTACTGTAATTAGGTAGGGGAGAAGGCATGCTTTCCCAGATGCTTTGCTACTGACGAAGAAAGAAGTCATGTCATAAAATCTTACAGATTCTCTGCAGTCTTAAATTTGAACAATTCTCTTGAGCATGGCTATTGGCCTATTTCTCCTTTCAAATGCTATAAGATCAACACTGGCTGCTTGGAAGCTACAGCAGTGACTTAATGAGCTAGTGATCTACAGGCTAATTGTAAGATTATAACAATACTGAAACTTGTAGATGTGGCTATTTAATCAGCAGAGCAAAAGCTTTACCA